CCGATGTTTCTCTCTCATCGATGTTTCTATCTCTCTATCCCTCTCCCATCCTCTCTGTAAAAAATCAATAAAATATATTTTTAAAAAAACTCTCATCTGTGATGTAGATGTCATGTTTATTTTCCTTTTTGTTTTTATTATTTGAAATGCTCTCTGTGACACAGTTTTGTCACATGTTTGGTTAATTGGTTCATGCTGAAATCATTTCTCTCAGGAAAAGTGTGAGGTGGGGATAGGAAGCAGGAAAATAATAACTGCCTTGCGTATTCTGTAGGCCCAATTTGATGTAGATATATTTTTAAGGCTTTTATTTTTCTTTTAGTTCTCCCATCAGTCCTAGTGTGGGGATTTTTATTCTAGACATGTACAAATTTGTAAACAGAACTGTAGTCACACTCTACATGTCATTTCATAGTCTTCTAATATAAAATATGTTTCATGAATCACTTCAAATATAATTCCCCCCCTAATTTGTTTGCTCAATTCATAAAAGAGTTGCCCAGAGAAAACTTGGAAAATCTGGCAGGTGCCATCTTGTGACCAATAACAGAACTACACCCTGTTACTATCAGCTCCTTATGGGAGAAGAAGATTGGGAACTACATCCTGCCAAGGCAGCAATTTTCTCAGGCTTCTAGAATATACCATGCTCAAATTTATAGTTTTGTTATGCATTGCACAAAAAATGGAATGCTAATGTCTATACTTCCAATGGTCTGATAAAAAGAAAATGGCATGCTTATGAAAATTGAAAAGATAAAGATTTATTTTTAAAAAAGTATAATTCTGGAAAAAATAATCAATATTATTGTCTTCTGAGTACCTTTCCATATTTTTTCTTTACATATATACACGAATGCATATAACTTCAGACCACCATTCTACTGTGTTCAAGCCCATGGTTTGAAATTATTTTCCATATTAATACGTATTTTCAATGTCATTTTTAACAAATCAGTTCAAATATAATTCCCCCTAATTTGAAACATTTTATGCCAATTTTTTGTGATAATCTTTTAGAAATGACTAAATATATATTAAGAATTATTTTTAAATAAATAGTAAAGTTTCCTGTCTCTCCAACCACACAAACAATCCCATTAATAGGTATCCTTGTATTTTTTTCTTATTTTGTTACACAAATTTCATTAACACAGTACTTTATCTTTAAATGACATATGTGGTACTTGCCGTTCTACAATTTTCATTTTTCACCTAATACAATTTCTCAGACATCTTTTCAAATTATTACATGTTCATACTTCCATTTGTCAGCTATATAACATTCAATTGTATGCATTGCACCATGCCACATAATATTTTTTTAAAACTGCTAATAAAAATGAACCAGGTCCTTTCTCTGCCTCACTCTTAAAAGATATAGAAAGATGTTTTGTTTGGGTTTTTTTTTTTTCTCACAATGGCTATACCATACCTGTGAGTCTGAAAGAATGAGTTGCAAGGAGTACACACGCAGGGCTATAGCCAACACAGCAACCAGGTTATGCGCTTGATCAGGTCCAGGAAAATTTCCACTATTGGCAAAAGACAAGGGGGGTATGTTTTCAAGTCTGTGTGTATGTGTGTCTATGAATGTTTATGTGTCTAAAACCAAATAGGTGCACTGTTTTAGCTTCATCTTGCACTTCTAGTGATAAAAAAATGATAATGAAATAAAACAACTTGAAAAATGCTAAAACTGGTTAAAATGTATTTTGAAACCTCCAGTAATATGAATGCTTTAGAGATGCTGACTGTTAAGAGGGCATTCTGGTTCCCTGATTAAGGAAAATGCATATATTTTTTACAAATGCTATCACTCAACAGCATATCTGGATCCCTTCCATGTTCGTGTACATTTATATTTCTATTTGTATGCGCTAATCACTTTTTGTTTACATTTTTCTATTAGTTATATTTGTGTAGAATAATAAATGTTTAAATAAAAATATAATAAACTCTCTAATGAAGATAGAAACATGGGATGTCGTGTAAAAATTAACATGAACAGCATGCCTCACTAAAGTCTTAATTTAGAAGCTGTAATCTGATCGCCCATTCCCACACTGTGGACTTCAAAAAATATCGGGAGAAACTAATTTTTCAGGGGGTTAAGTCTGTCACAATAACAGCAATTCCCCCCAAACTCTATTTCATTCCCACCTCTTGCGGACAACAGTCTTTTTTTTTTTCCCATCGTAATACCAAAGCCCGAAGAAATTCCCAGAAAATAACTCGCTTTAAGACAGCCATTACCTTGAAGCTTCTTGTCAGCTGCAGCCTCATGAAATGCAGCCCCTCCCCCAAGACAGGCCAGGAACAGCTCACTTCCAAGCTTCGGAGAGAATGCTCCGCCCCCTCCCTGTGATGGGGAAAGCAGGGGGCCTTTCCCTAAATTAGAGGGAGGAGAATCGCCAAGTCAACTGAAATTCACTTAAAGGGGAAAAACGGTCATTTTTAAAGGACTTCAAAGCGAAATCGCAACATGTATCTCTTTAATTTCCATTCAAAACACAGGGGTAGGTGATTTCCTGAAAAGAAGTAGCAAAACCCTTTATCATACAATAAAGACCTAGTTAAAAATATCTCTTACATATTTTTCTTGCCCTTTCGACACTATTTTACAACAGATGTTAAGACACAGCTGCTCAAGAATCAGAGGGATATACTTTGTAAAGTATATTGTTGTGTAACCATTATGCTGTACACCTGAAACTAATACAAAATAACATTAAATTTAAAAAATTTAAATAAAAAAATGTAAAAAAAAAAAGATTCACTAGGTTCTTGTTTGTGATTGCAGTAAATTGATGCATTATTTTGTGGAGAATTAAGTAGCTACAATTTTAATTCTTCTGTCCCTAGGACATGATATGCCTCTCTTTTTACTCAGTTAATCTCACTCACCCTTCAGAACATTTCATAGTTTTCACAGTTTTTTTTTCAAGCAAAGTAATTTCTAAACAAAAAACATCACTCAAAATCTTTATAGAAAATGGATATCTAAATATACTGAAATTGAAAAAAAAACTGTGGTAAAAATACAGTTAACCAAAGTTAAAAACAGAAGAACTTGACAAAACATTTTAATTAAAAAAAAAATCTCTAAAGTAGCTCCTAACAATTTATTAAGAAATACATAGCAAAGTTAAAAATGAGTAAAGGGCATCCATAGTCAATTCACAATGTTCTTAAGGCATAATTCTTTCCTGCTGTGGATAGTCTCTGTGAGCAAACTCTTGTAGTAGAATTACAGGTAACTGTTCTTTTTGTACATTTACAAGTCTCTAGGCTATTTGGTAGATTTGTTTAAATTTGATGTTATAAGACCCACTTGAATCTTTTGCATCACTTGACTCTCAGGATAGTTATTGTCCAAGTGAGCATTCCCTTGTGCAAAAGCTAAGATCTTGGCTTCTATCTGCAACTTATTTGTTTCATATGAATTTGCTCAGTGGAGAAAGGGAGTTGTTATTCATAGGGGCTCTTCAAAACCCAAACATTCAAATAAAGATTAAAACCAAGCAATACATAAAAAGGTCACAGTAATGACCTTCCCTAATAATGAAAGATATGGAAATATACACAAGATTTTATTTTTCTACCTAATTTGACTTACCAAGAAACAAGGAAATGATACAATGGTGAGTTAGCAAAGGAGTGATGAAATGGGCACTTCTTCTCATGTGCAAGGTCACAAAGATGGGAAAAGGGAAAGGCAAAATCAAAGCCGAAGTCTCTATCTGACTCCCAAACAGAAGGAAGTATTCTCTTTCCACCAGAACTCGCTGATTCCTGGGCTTGGAATTCTGTCTCTTTGGTAAAGTCAAAGATGATATATCATTCATCTTCAGATTTTGAGGACATTGGTGAATGTAATGTCAGAGTGAGCATTGCTTAATCTCATGTCCCTGATGGTGAGCATATTGGTGAACTGCAACCATCTTCATTAGTAACTGCCATAGTTATATATGAACTCTCTATCTTTCACATTCCCTCACAAAGTTAAAAAAAAATTTCTGCACTATTCTTTTGCACCAACAATATCTGCATGACAGCATTCACTTGGCTATAAGGTAGTTATGACATGTGTCTTTGTTTCACAGGACTTGGCAGTACTTTCCCTTTCAGATATAGCTATCCCTGGAGAGGGGCTGAAAAACATTTGTTATGCAGAAAAATGCCAGTTTCATTCCATCTCATTTAAAAATGGCAACCCCTTGCTCTTGTGCATTTGTTGTTTGCAATTGCCAATTCAATATGGGAAAATATTTCTATTCTCTTCTGTTGAGCTTTTTGCTCACAAAATGTTCAAGAAATTAAAATCAGGTTTTAGATTTCTATTGCCTTAAACTGCCAATGGATCATTCTGAGCATTCGTTCTCTAAGGCGAAGAGATTAAGCAATACAAATTAGTAGTTTCAAAATAGCCACAGACATGTAGATTACAGCATATGGAATACAGTCAACAATATCAAGATAACTATGTAGTGGGTACTTAAAGCCAGAGGGGACCACTCTGTAAAGTACCTGACTTTCTAACCACTTTGCTGTACATCTGAAACTAATACAGAATAATATTGAATGCCAACTGTAATTGAAAAATAATAATAAAAAGAAAACAGAATCATTGTAAGAAAAGATAATGTTGAATTTAAAAACAATATAAAATGTAAATAAGGTTGATGAGGCCCTCACAATTCCATGCATTATTAGAATGAACCAGTAAACATGACTCCCATCTCCTGTCACCTGACTATTCAGGTTAGAGAAACAGATCTGCAGTATGACACAACTCTTCCTGTAATTAAGAAATGAAGACAAACAAACCTGTCTGCCCTAGGGTCTCTAAAGAAAGAATCCGACATTCTTTTAGAGACATATAACAGAAGGGTCAGGGTACTTAAAAAATTATTCCAGTGACCAATCTGAATAAAGGACACCTTTGATGAGTAGGTAATGATTTCTGATAGCAGAACCCAATGCCCAGACTTTAAGAGTTTGTTATTGAGGCATTATGACAGAATTGCATTTCTGAAGAGTTCATATAAGCAGGCAGGAAGACAGTTCTGGGTTTGAGATCTTTATTATCTCAGTGGAGAGAAAACTTTCAAATCACTGACAAGGATGCTGAGTTGTCTTCTTCTCACACTATATAGCATAGTTAAGAAAGATGCATGAGTCACTTGCATCAGAGGATATTAACTTAGATTGTCTAAATATTAAACCATATTTAGTGGTACAATAATAAAAAGAGTTGAGTATCTGTCTAAGTGTGTAGTAAGAGACAGATAAGACAGGAAAAATGGGAAAACGGGATAAGAAGTCCTAATTTAACTGTAGAGTTATTAAATTTACACATGTTAAATTAATGCATCTGGATATAGACACGACATCAAACAAGACACAAAACATGGTGGAAAAATCCTTAGGTCACTGGTCTGGTTTTAGCTGCCTGGTTTTCTAGAAAAGCAGTATTTTGAAGATCCCGTAACTCATTAGGGCCAGTAAATGGTTTTCACCTGTTGTATCCTCTTCAGAAACTTCACAAAATAGCTTGAAGAAAGTGTTTTCAAAGGGTAATGATTAGATTTGCTTAAAACATGGCAGATGGAGGTGGGCAAAGTGGGGGGAGGAAATGGGGGACATCTATAACAGTGTCAACAATAAAAATAAAGTAAAAAAATGGCAAAAAAGAAAAGGGATCAGGTAATTTTACTTTGCTAAGCATAAAGTGGTGGATAATTAGAATGGAGACAAGATACAAATCATAATAAATAATGGGTATCAGATAGAGAAGGTCAGAGAAATGGAACATATTTAGGGGGAGGGGAACAAAAACAAAAAAGAAGTATGATAACACAAACCAAATATCTTTATTACTTCTGTTGTACTATAAGAAGTAAATGTGTGTGGAAGAATATTTGGCAGTGTCAAGGGAATTATTTGTGTTCCTGGATAATTTGTGCCTTTAGGACCCCACTGGGTTATCATGAGAAAATGATAACTTGCTATTGTTGCACTGTCAGTCCAAAGCAACCAAAGATATCATGGACACAGATAGTGTGGTTTAGCACTAACAACCTCATTAAGAGCCTGACTTGAAGAGTCAGATAATTGTGATGACTTTTAGGAAAAATTAAATGTTAAACCACTACAAAATATTATTCAAGAGAGTATACAGATGTTGACTTAAGGAAGATCATTAGACCTTAAAGAAATCTTTATAACTATGCAATCTAGTTTGTGGTGATAACCTAACATAGCTGTCAAGGATTGGAGAGTCAGGCCACTTGCTGGAACCTCAAAATGCCTGAATAGCCTCTTGCATGATTTCTTCATTGTGGTTTAACACAAAGTTGTTGGTTTTTTCCCCCCTAACTAGAAGGTATGACTTTTACTTACAAAACATTATGGTGGCAGAACAGGGAGCAAAATAACATGTAACTCAAATTCTCAACTTACAATGATTTTAATATGAAATTTTAAATGCTATGGCTATAGAGCAGTAAGCAAAATGAATTATACCCAAAGTACTCAACATGTTTCTAATATGAAATATTTTGTGAAATGGGAAGAGCCTTACCCAGTGTCATGTGGATTGTGCAGGGTCTGGCCCTGTGATTTGGTTATTTTAAAACAAATATATTTTTTATTGATTTCAGAGAGGAAGAGAGAGGGAGAGAGAGATAGAAACATCAATGATGAGAGAGAATCATTGATCAGCTGCCTCCTGCATGCCCTCTGTGAGGGATCGAACCCACAACCTGGGCATGTGCCCTTGACCAGACTTGAACCCGAGACCCTTCAGCCCGCAGGCTGACGCTCCATTGAGCCAAACCAGCCAGGGCATGATCTGGTTATTTTGATTATCACTCTAGCAGCTAGAGTCTAGCTGCTTCTCCCTGCCCACACTTCTCTGGTCAAATTGCCTTTCAGGAGCTCAACTGGCTAAACATGCAGACTCACCAAGTCATGCACATTTCTGATATAAATTTAAGCTGTTCAAAAAGAGACAGGGAACCAAACAAATTAAATGGAAATGACTTGAAGAAACTTCCCTACAAAAACTTCAGCAGGCATGTCATTCTGAAACACAGAAAAGAGATGAAATCTCATCAGTGATATGGATACCATGTTTAATTTTTTTGTAATTATTTGAAATGCTCTCTGTGACACAGTTGCTATTTGGTTCATGATAAAATCATCCCTCTTATGAAAAGTATGATTTGGGGAGAGGAAAGAAGGGAATACAGTGGGGCCTTGACTTAGGAGTTTAATTCGTTCCGTGACAGAA